CAGGAGCGGCCACTGCACTCCAGTCTGGGCAACAGAGTGAAACTCCAACTCAAAAAAAAACAAAAAACAACTCTATTAGATATTTGTAATCAAGGTCAGAAATTAAAGATCAGCCAGGCGTGGTAGCTCACGCCTATAATCCCAGCACTTTGGGAGGCCGAGGTGAGAGGATTGCCTAAGCCCATGGGTTCAAGACCAGCCTGGACAACTTGGCGGGACCTCATCTCTACAATCAATCCAAAAACATTTGCCAGGCGTGGTGGCACACGCTTATGGTTCCAGCTACTGAGGTAGGAAAGATCACCTGAGCCCAGCAGGTCGAGGCTGCGGTGGCTGTGAGCGTGCCACTGCACTCCAGCCTGGGTGAGAGTGAGACTCCAACTCAAAAACAAAGAAAACAACAAAAAAAAGAAATTAAAGATCAAAAATTATTTTGATCACATAAAAACAAAAAGCAACTCTTCAACTTCAAAACAACATAATACAGAAAAAAACTGTATCACTATAGGAACTCAATAATGCTATTTATTTAAAAATCAATATGTCGCTGGGCTCGGTGGCTCAGCCTGTAATCCCGCACCTTGGGAGGCTGAGGTGAGTGAACTGCCTGAGCCCGCGGGTTCGAGACCCGCCTGGGCATCTTGGAGAGACATCATCTCTACAATAAATCAAAAAACTAGCCAGGCGTGGTGGTGCGCACCTGTAGTTCCGGCTACTTGGAAGGCTGAGGCGGAAGGATCTCCAGAGCCCAGCAGAGTGAGGTTGCGGTGGCCGGGAGCGGCCACTGCACTCCAGTCTGGGCGACAGAGTGAGACTCCAACTCAAAAAAAAAAAAAAAAAAAAATCAGTATGTCTCATAATCTACCCAGACTTTGAGAATAACTTCTCTGAAAAGTAATAAAGTTGGGAAGAAAAATCTTTACCCTTATTTCTCCAAATGTTTTTTTTATAAAAAGGAAAGTTATTTTTATAAAAGGAAATGAGGTTTTTATTTGTCAATTCTTTGGGCCCCCAAATTTTGAATTTTTGTCTAAAATTTTGAATTTTCAAGTTTAATTCCTGCCCAGGAAATATAGCAGGAAAAAATTTACATTTAACTTTGGAGCATCCAAAATGCTGGCGTCTTATTAGTGACGTATCTTTAGGTCCTCATTTATAACTGGGACGTTCATGTGTTAACACCGTAATTTAATCTCACCACAGAGTATCTGACAGATTCTATTTACCATCAAGGCTGGAGACCATATCATGGAGTAAGGTCTAAGTGCTGGTCACGGAAGTGGCCTGCAGTTAACTTATTTTCCACAAATATTTTCCCTGAACACTTTTTTCCCAGTTCCTCCAACGGAAAAGGACTGCATTTCCTGATAAATGCCTTCAGGAAAAGCCAGCACACTTCTTTG